AGGAAGGAAGGAAGGAAGGAAGGAAGGAAGGAAGGAAGGAAGGAAGGAAGGGAGAGGGAGGGAGGGAGGCAGGGAGGGAGCAAAGGAGGGAGGGAAGGAAGCAAGAAAGGAAGGAGAAGGAAATGAAAAAAGGAGAGAAGGAGAGAAGAAAAAAGAAAAATTACCACTGTTAATGAAAATGTGGAGAAATTAGAACACATGTCCATTGCTGGTTGGAATGTAAAATGGTTCAGCTGCTGTGGAAGATAGTATGATGGTTTCTTAAAAAGTTGAACATAGCAGTATATGATCCAGAAATCCCACTCCTACCTATTTACCCAGAATAATGATAAGCTGAGACTAGACACTGTACACCAGTGTTCATAGCAGCATTATTCACAAAGAGCCAAAAGGTGGCAACAGTCCAAAAGTCCATTGACATATGAATGAATAAGCAAAATGTGGTGTGTCTATTTAAGGCTGAGTAATAGAATATTACTCAACCTTAAAAAATGAGATTCTGATACATGCTGTCCTATGGACTTAACCGTGCCCCCTCAAAATGTGTATGGTAGGCCTAACTCTCAACATGATGGGGCCGCTGGAAGAAAATTATGTCTAGATGAGGTGATGGGGGCAGGGCCCCCTGGTGGGATGAGTGACCCGCAAGAAGAGGAAAAGACTTGAGTGCTCTCCCCCTGTGCCATATGGGGACGCAGCAAGAAGGCAACCTCTGCAGGCCAATAAGAAAGCCCTCAGCAAACCCAATCCTGCTGACATTCTGACCTCAGCCTTCCAGCCTTTAGAACTGAGAGAAATACATTTACGTTGTTTAAGCCGGGGTTCCCAAGCCCTGGGCCGTGGCCCGGCATGGATCGGAACCAGGCCGCACAGCAGGAGGTGGGAGGTGGCTGAGGGGGCATTGCTGCCTGAGCTCCAACTCCTCTCGGATCAGCGGCAGCTGCAGATTCTCGCAGGAGCACAAACCCTCTCGTCAACTGCGCATGCGGGGGATGTAGGCTGCGCACTCCTTACCAGAATCTAACTAATGCCTGCTGATGTGGGGTGGGGCAGTCTCATCCTGAAACCATACCCTCACCAACACCCCACGGAAAAATTGTCTTCCATAAAACCAGTTCCTGCTGCCAAAACGTCTGGGGGCGCTGGTTGAAGTCACCCAGTCTGTGGTATTTTGTTATGGCAGCCCCAACTGACAAAGGCATGCTATACAAAGTGGATGAACTTGGAGGACACTATGCTAAGTGAAATTAAGCCAGACATAAAAGGGCAAATATTGTGATCCCACCTCTATGAATAGGCAAATTCATAGAGACAGAAAGTCGAGGTTACCAGGAGCTGGGCGGCGCACGGTGGCTCACACCTGTAATTCCAGCACTTTGGGAGGCCGAGTCGGGTGGATCACCTGAGGTCAGGAGTTACAGACCAACCTGGCCAACATAGTGAAACCCCATCTCTACTAAACATACAAAATTTAGACAGGTGTGGTGGCATGCACCTGTAATCCCAGCTACTTGGGAGGCTGAGGCAGGAGGAGACTGGCCTCCTTGAACCTGGGAGACAAAGGTTGGAACGAGCCAAGATAGCACCACTGCACTCCAGCCTGGGAGAGTGAGACTGTCTCAAAAAAAGAAGAAAAGGAAGTTACTAGGGACTGGAGAGAGGAGAGAAGGGGGAACGATTAAAGGGCACAGAGTTTCTGTACAGGATGATGAAAAAGTGCTGGGAATGGATAGTGGTGATGGAGGCACAACACTGTGAATGTACTCGAGACCATTAAACTGTACATGTGAAAATGGTCAAAATGGCAAATTTTATGTGAATTTCACCACAATAAAAACTGCAACAACAACAAAAATACATAGAGCAAGCCAGGCATGCTGGTGGACACCTGCACTACCAGCTACTCAGGAAGCTAAAGTGCGAGGATTGTTTGAGCCCAGGAGTTCAAGTCCATCCTCAGCAACATAAGGAGACCTCATTTCTACAAATAAGCAATAAATACATGCAGCAATAATGGACAGCTAAAAGGGGAAATAACATGTTACTGCATAATTACAGTTGCAGTTTTTAAATTGAGATTCTGATTTGTAATTTTTTAATGACTAAAGATATAGAAGATCTTTTCATGGTCTTATTGTTCATTTGTATCTCTTCTTTGGGGAAATGTCTATTCAAGTCCTTTGCCCAGTTTTTCATTGGGCAGGTCTTTTGTTTGCTTTTTTTTTTTTTTCCCCTGCATAGTTGCAGGAGTCTCCTGTGTGATCTGGGTATTAATCTGTCATCAGATGTATGATGAACAAATATTATTCTTATTCCCTAGGTTGTCTTTTCACTCTCATGATGTCCCCTGATGCATGAAAATTTTTTATTTTAATGAATTCCAATTCATCTGCTTTTTTCTTCTGTTACCTGTGCTTTTGGTAGTGTCCTGAAGAAACCATTGCCAACTTAGAGTTAAACTTCATCCTCTTGCATGTGGCTATTCAGTTGTCTCAGCACTATTTTTTGAAAAGACTGTTCTTACTTTATTGTTTTGGTACCCACATCAAAAATCAATTGACTACATATATAAGGGCTTTTCTTTCAATTCCATTAGTCTACATGTTTATCTTTACATTCATACCACACTGTTTTAAATACTGTAGCTTTGTAGTAAGTTTTCAAATTGGGAAGTGTATGGCCTCCAACATTGTTCTGTTTTATCAAGAATGCCTTGAATATTCAGGGTCTGTTGAAATTCTGTATGTACTTTAGAATAAATTTTCTTTTTTTTTTTAAATAAAGATGGGGTTTCACCATCATGGCCAGGCTGGTCTTGAACTCTTGACCTCAGGTGATCCACCCACCTCGGCCTCCCAAAGTGCTAGGATTACAGGCGTGAGCCACCACACCTGGCAGATTTTCATATTTTTACAGAAAACAACAGTGGGATTTTGACAAAAATACATTGAATCTTTAGATCAGTTTGCAGAGTATTGTCATTTTAACAATATTACATCTTCCAATTCATGAACACAGTATGTCTTTACATTTATTTAGAACTTTAATTTCTTTAAGGAATGTTTTGTAGCTTAGCGTATAGCTTTCCTCACCTTTGTTTTATTTCTAAGCATTTTATTGTTTTTTGATGATATGTAAGTGGAATTCCTTTTTGGATTGTTCATTGCTAGTGTTTAGAAATACTATTGTTTGTGTGTTGATTTTGTATCCTACAACATTGCTGAATTCACTTTTTTTTTTTTTTTTTTTTTTTTTTTCAAAGACACGGTTTCACCATGTTGGCCAGGCTGGTCTTGAACTCCTGACCTCAGGTGGTCTACCCACCTCAGCCTCTCAAAGTGCTGAAATTACAGGCGTGAGCGACCACGCCCAGCTTGAATTCATTCTTTAGTCCTAACAGTTTTCATGGCTTCCTTAGGGTTTTCTATATATCAGGTCATATCATCTGTGAACAGGGAGAACTTCTTTTCCAGTTTGGGTATACTCAGACACAGTGTTTCATGCCTGTAGTTCCAGCACTTTGGGAGGCTGAGGTGGGAGGATTGTTTGAGCCCAGGAGTTCGAGGCCAGCCTAGGCAACATGTCAAAACCTTATCTCAATAAAAAATACAAAACTTAACCAGGTGTGGTGGCACATGCTTGTAGTCCCAGCTACTTGGGAGGCTGAGATGGGAGGATCACCTGAGCGAGCCCAGGAGGCTGAGGCCATGGTGAGCTGTGATCATGTAAGACACTGCACCTCAGCCTGGGTGACAGAGTGAGATCCTGTCTCAAACAAACAAACAAGTTGGGTGTCTTTTATTTCTTTTCCTTGCCTAATTTCTCCAGCTACATCTTTCAGTACTATATTGAATAGAGGTGGCAAAAGCGGGCATCATTGGCTTTTTCCTGATCTTGGAAAGCTTTTAGTCTTACACCACTGAATATGATGTGGATTTTTCACATACAGTCTTTATCATGGAGGGGATACTCTTCTATTCCTAGTTTATTGAGTGTTTTTATCATGAAACGGTGTTGAATTTAATCATTTGTTTGTGTGTGTGTGGGGGTGTGACCCAAGTCTCGCTCTATTGGCCAGGCTGGAGTGCAGTGGTGCGACCTTGGCTCATCTCAACCTCCATCTCCCAGATTCTCCTACCTCAACCTCCCCAGTAGCTGGGACTACAGGCACCTGCCACCATGCCTATTTTTTTTTTTTTTTTGTATTTTTAGCAGAGATGGGGTTTCACCATAATGGCCAGGCTGGTCTTGAACTCCTGGCCTTGTGATCTGCCCGCCTCGGCCTCTCAAAGTGCTGGGATTACAGGCATGAGCCACTGCACCTAGCCAAATTTAATAAATGTTTAAAAATCAACTGAGATTTTTTTTCTTTTTTGAGATGAAATCTCACTGTCTCACTCAGGCTGGAGTGCAGTGGTGCAATCTTGGCTCACTGCAACCTCAACCTCCTGGAGCAATTCTCCTGGGGTGAAATTCCACCCCTATAAAAAAATTAAAAATGGAAAAAAAATTTTTTTTAATTAAAAAATTCCCTTGAAACATAAAACTCGATCAACCCAATAGAAGACAGGAACTGAAGGACACTTCTCCTGCTCTGTCCTCATGACAAATCACAGCAGTTTTAAGGAACTTACAGCTCACATCCTGTGTGACTGTCATATATTTTACTTCTACGTGCTATATACCCCACAATATACCAATGTTATTTCTGCTTTAAGCATTCAATGGTCTTGTAAAGAACTCAAGCAAAGAAAAAAATAGTGTATTTACCCACATATTTACTGTTTCCAGTGTTCTTCCTTCCTCCCTGGAGACCTGAATTTCCTTATTTTATTTTTTTTTTTTAGCACTGTTTTGGTAGTACTTTTCTCCTACAATGAACTCTGTCAGCATTCCATGAAGTTGTTTTTATTCCAACTTTTTTTTTTTTTTTTTTTTTTTTGAGACGGAGTTTCACTCTTGCTGCCCAGAGTGGAGTGCAGTGGCATGATTTCGGCTCACTGCAACCTCTGCCTCCCGAGTTCAAGAGATTCTCCTGTCTCAGCCTCCGAGTAGCTGGGGTTACAGGCACCCGCCACCACGCCCAGCTAATTTTTGTATTTTTAGTAGAGACAGGGTTTTGCCATGTTGGCCAGGCTGGTCTTGAACTCCTGATCTTAAGTGATTCGCCCGCCTTGGCCTTCCAAAGTGCTGGGATTACACGCGTGAGCCACCGCGCCTGGCCCCAACTTCGTTGAATATTTTCTGTGCACAAAGAATGTTAGCTCTTCTTTCACCATTTTATGGCATCACTCCACCGTTCCTGATGGAAAGTCAGCTGTCATTTTTGTCCTTGTTCCCCTACACATCCGGTGTTTTTGTTTTCCTGGCTACTACTTTTTTGTGATTGTATCTTTAATTTTCAGCATTTGACTATGAGGCATCTAGGTGTGGCCTTCTTTATATTCATCCTGCTTTTAAGAGGAGGGAGTGGTGATTCCATGCAGCCAGATGCAGATCAAGAGAGAAATGGTACATCTGACATGCTGTACTTTTCCCTGAGGAGAAACAGCCCACCACGCACAGCCACTCAGTGGAAGCAACCACCAGTTATGGGGCACAGTGAGCAGGGGAATATGGGTAAGACCCCTTATGGTGTTTCCCAGGAAGGACAGGTGAGGCAGGGTCAGCAGAGTGAGACTGACTGGAATAATCTCAGCAGGCGCTGGGCCACAGGGGCTGTTGCAGGTTGTCTGGTACTGCCCAGGGGTGTCAGGGTGCTGGCCCAGAGCTTGAGCCCAAGAAAGGAGGTAGTTATGTATGTAAACTTGATTGGCTACTCCAGATGACTGACTGCCCTCTAGCCAGGACCTCAAAGCTAGGGCCTCAAAACTGGATAAGACCGCAATTTTAAAAAACCAACAGAATTTTGGCCAATATTTCTCCATATATTTTTTTCTGCCACATTTTCTCTCCCATCCTGGGATTCTAGTTGGGTAGTTGTTACACTGTCTCACAGTTTATTGAGTCTCTGCTCATTTATTTATTTTACAATCTTTTCTTCCTTTTTTTTTTTTTTTGAGACAGAGTTTCGCTCTTGCTACCCAGGCTGGAGTGCAATGGCGCGATCTCGGCTCACTGCAACCTCCACCTCCTGGGTTCAGGCAATTCTCCTGCCTCAGCCTCCTGAGTAGCTGGGATTACAGGCACGCACCACCATGCCTAGCTGATTTTTTGTATTTTTAGTAGAGATGGGGTTTCACCATGTTGACCAGGATGGTCTCGATCTCTTGACCTTGTGATCCACCCCCTATTTTGTAATTTAGATAATTTCTTTAATCTGTCTTCAAGTTCACTGACTTTTCTTCTGCACATGGGGAAATGGGAAGATGCTGATCAAAGAGTATGAACTCTCAGTTTAAAGATAAGTTCCGGGGAGCTGGGCACAGTGGCTCATGCCTGTAATCACAGCACTTTGGGAGGCCAAGATGGGCGGATTATCTGAGGTCAGGAGTTAGAGACCAGGCTGACCAACATGGTGAAAGTCTCTCTCTACTAAAAATGCAAAAATTAGCGAGTGTGGTGGCAGGTGCCTGTAATCCCAGCTACTTGGGAGGCTGAGGCAGGAGAATTGTTTGAACCCAGGAGGCAGAGGTTGCAGTAAGGCCAGATTGCAACACTGCACTTAAGCCTGGGAAACAGAGTGAGACTCCGTCTCAAAAAAAAAAAGTTCTGCAGCACGGGCGGGGATGGGTGTGCTAATTCAGTGGTGATAATCACACAATGCACAGGTATAACAAACCATCACACTATGTACCTTGAATATACACAATCTTTGTCAATTGAATTAAAAAATAATACTGTACACACACAGACAAATTCAGGACATTTCAAAAGGCAATAAAAAAGCATCCATTTAAGTCTAAGAAAAATGTTTATAATCATTTTAACATTCTTATTGAATGATTTCAACTCCTTGGTTTTCTATAGGTGGTTTTGATTTTGTTTGTTTTTTTGAGACAGGGTCTCACTCTGTTGCCCAGGCTCGAGTGTAATCGCACTGTCACAGCTCACTGCAGCCTCAACCTCCCGGGCTCAAATGATCTTCCCACTTCAGCCTCCTGAGTAGCTGGGACAAAAGGCACACACCATCATGCCTGGCTAATTTTTTGTATTTTTTCTAGAGATGGGGTTTCACCATGTTGCCCAGGCTGGTCTTGAACTCCTAGGCTCAAGCAGTCCATCCACCTCGGCTTCTCAAAGTGCTGGGGTCACAGGTGTGCACTACTGTGCCCATCCTGATTTTTTTTATTGATTACATGTCATATATTCCCACTTCCTCTCATGCCTACTGATGTGATTATATACTGGACATTCTCAGTAATATACTATAGAGACTCTGGATTCAGTTGTTTCCCCCCTCACCCATAAAAACTGTTCTAGTAGAGTTCAGTTACTAGTGATCACCTTGAATCTGTGAAGCCTTAATTTTAGGCTGTATACGGGTAGGCCTGTTTTAGTTTTGCCCTCAGTCCTAGACCCTAGATTTGAGTTCTGTGATGTGGTCCTAATCCTAAGGCCTACACCCTGGGTTTTTAATAGAAAGCCTGAAATAGTTACCACATCCCTCTAATTTGATGGAACATGAATTATAAACTTCTTCTCCCCAGCACCAGACATATTCTGAAATCTCCGCTCAGCTTTTCCAGCCTTCCAAGTGTGGCTTTTCATTTGGAATCCTGCCCTGTTTATGTACAATACAGGAGCCCGCCAAGAACTTAACGAGACTATGCAAGGCAAGGTTGGGGGCTTCTATGGTTTCCTCCTTTCTGGATGTGGCCCCCCACCAGTCTGCAGCTGCCAAGAATGTCCTAAGTGACTTGGCACCTGGGCCTAGTCAGACTGCCACCTTTTGTTTTACTCCCTGTGAGCCACATGAGGAACAGCCACTTGGATGTGGATCTTACTCAATGTGCTTCCCGTCTTCTGAAGGCTGCTCCCCTCCCTCTCTTGCCTGTATCTCAGCAGGCTGCAGTGCATTTCCATCATTTCAACAGCGTGTGTAATGATCCGGAGTAGGCTGGTCTGATACAAGCTGCTCTGCCCTTACTGGAAGCCAGACTGTAATCAGATGTTTAAGTGTTAAAATAAACTCCAACTTCCTTTTCTTAATCTGGGTGATGGACATTTAAGAGCTCTCACTTTGTGAAAATCTGTCAAGGTGTGAGTTTATGTACTTTTCAATTTGTGCTATAGATCTCAACAAAAAGTTTATTACAAGAAAAAACCCATTGTGTGCCAGCACCCAGTTTAAACCCCCTCTGGGACCTTCCTGTGCCCCGAAGATCAAACCCAGTCTCCCTCTCCTGGCCGTGTGCAGTTTTCCATGCAGCTCCTTCCATGAGATACACACTAGCTCAAGCTCCTCCCTCTCTGCCCACCCCTCGCCCACAGGGATAGCCCCTACTTAGTCTTCAGGCTTCAACCTAAGCATCAGCTCCTTGTAACAGCTTTTCCTGACCACCAAGTCCCTGTTCCTGAACCTCAGGGCCCACTCTTGTGCCCTCACAGGCACCAGGTGGCCCTCCCTCCCCTCTCCATCGTCACACAGAGTCCATATCCTCAATGCATATCCACTCCAGAGGAGCTCAGGGAACTGGCAAAATGAAAAGTCCATGCCACCCTCCTAAGGAACTCCGTGGCAAGGCCAGGTCCAGGGGTCTCATGACACCATTCTTGCCTTGAGGTTCCCCCTCTCTCCTTGCCTGTTATGCCTGCCTGGGGCAGCTCCCAGAGGTTGAGGACCGAGAAGTGACCTAGGTGCCATCCTCAGAATCCAAAGGACTGGATGCAACCCAAAGCCAGCCCCAGCAGCAGACAAGACTTAGGTAAAGCCCTCCTTCTTCTGTCCCGGTTTGCAGCTTCTGCTAGATAAAGGGCTTGGACTTTGCACTCTATCAGTTTGCCCTTCTGAACACAAAAGCTGAATGACTGCGCAGTTTTAAAGAAGAGAGGAAAAGTTTATTGTGTTGAGCAGACCTTATTTTCATTACAGTACCAGGAAGTTCTTTCTTAATTCCCTTCAGATGCAGAGATTCTGCGGACATTTAAAACCCCAATGCTGTTCCCAAGCAAGGGGCAGCACCTGAACACATTGTTGCATTTAATGGAGAAGAATTACAGTAAAATCAGATGTTCATGAAGATTTGCAAAGTAGTTTCCTGAAAAATTCTAACATTTTCCCACCTTTATCTTGTTATTACCATGAATAACTGGTTGGTTGGAAAACATGGTACTTGATGATAATCTTTGCTGTCGACCTTAGGTTAATATATTCTGCTTTTTGTTGTTGCTGTTAAAAGGCGCTCTGCCCATTTCTCTGGAAATCTCAATGGTGACAAGTAAGGCAAGGCATACAGTACACTCCTGTCCCACTGCAACCTTCCATGGCTGGCTCTGCACTGCTGGGTACCTGGGAAAGACTCAGGAGAGGACCTCTTGCTTGCAAATCTTGACCATGGAGCTTAATCTTTATGTGCTCCTTTCTAGAGAGCATGTGGCCACTTCCACAGACTTTTCGGTTTGTTTTTAAAAACTGTCACTGCTCAATGACAGCCTGAGGGATGGGACCCTCTACTCAATTCATTGACTCCCTGCCACTACTGCCTTCCAGAAGTGTCATTTCTGTATACAGAGAAATGAAAGACCAAATAACGAATGAGAAATCTGTATCCTCCAGGTATTTCAGGTATATACCCTGAAATATCAATACCACTGCAGTTCATGATGTCTCATTTGCTTGAATTCAATCAGCTAATTACCAAAATCCTGATTAAGATCTCTCCCTCACTACTTCAAGGCAGAGAAAACATGAATTTAGAAGTTATCTTACCAGACTAGACACATGACAAGCTATATTTGATTAACTCCAATCATCCCATAAAAATGTGCCCATAAAATCAAGTACTTAAAAAACTAATTATTAAAATTACACAACAATGGGCCAGGCATGGTGGCTCATGCCTGTAACTCTAGCCAGCACTTTGGGAGGCTGGGGTGGGTGGATCACCTGAGGTCAGGAATTCGAGACTAGCCTGGCCAACATGGTGAAACCCAGTCTCTACTAAAAATGCAAAAATTAGGCCGGGAATGGTGACTCACTCCTGCAATCCTAGAACTTTGGGAGGCCAAGGAGGGCAGATCACTTGAGGTCAGAGTTGGAGACCACCCTGGCCAACATGGTGAAACCCTGTCTTTACTAAAAATACGAATTAACCAGGCATAGTGGCAGGTGCCTGTAATCCCAGCTACTGGGGAGGCTGAGGCAGGAGAATAGCCTGAACCCGGGAGGTGGAGGTTGCAGTGAGCTGAGATAGCGCCATTGTAATCCAGCCTGGGCAACAAGAGCAAAACTCTGTCTCAGAAAAAAAAAAAAAATACACAACAATATAATGCACATATTTAGATAACTCTGCACATAATCCACCCTCCATTTTTGTTACCAAGAGAAAAATTCCATCAGGTGGCTTTACCAATACATTTCCATTCCCATGAAATACCACAGTACAAGCATTATATTCAGAGAAATAGACTACAATTCCCTTCTAACTCTTTTTCTTTTTTCCTGTAACTCTTATTTATTTTAATCATTCAGGCCAAACTAGGTATGGCAATTTTAGAAAATGATTGCTTTCAAGTACCTAAATATAATTCCAGAGGGTGGGAGAGAAAGGGAATCATTTTACACTTGTCATTATCAGGGTTGTGTCTGATTGTCCAGGTCATGGGGTCAGTAGAGTAGGTTTCCTGACTAAAGGAAACTCTGGGAGTTCTTTCTTCCCTGCCACCTGGGTCTCCTCCACACACTGATCCCCTATTCCTAGCTCTTGGCCCTCCACTCAGGGACTTGGTCCCCACGATCAGAGGAAAGCTCATTCAGGCAGACCTCAACAAAGTTCAGAACACGAGGCTTTGGCTGGACATGGCTCAAGCCAGTAATCCCACCATTACGGGAGGCCAAGGCAGGCAGATCACCTGAGTTCAAGACCAGCCTGGCTAACCAACATGGTAAAACCCCGTTTCTACTAAAAATACAAAAATTAGCCGAGTATGGTGGCAGGCACCTGTAATCCCAGCTACTTGGGAGGGTGAGGCGGGAGAATCGCTTGAACCTGGGATGCAGAGGTTGCAGTGAATCAAGATTGCGCCACTGTACTCCAGCCTGAGCGACAGAATGAGACTTAAGAAAAAAACAACAAACACAGGGGCTTAAGGAGAGGAGAGCAAATTAAGCTCCATTTCTGGAAACTGTTTCTTAACATACATCATGCATGTAATCTTTGCCCTGCCAAGAGGCATTCACCCAAGTAGACAGGCAAGCATCTATGTGTTCAATCTGAAATGCAACATTGGTAGACGCACAACTTTATCCCTCTTAGAGAAACTAACATGTCATCCATCACTCTCCATGTGGTAAACATTCAGTAAACTTCTAAAAGCAAACACAGTACCCTGGCATATCCCACAGCCCCAGCAGCAGGCTGTGACAGGCTTTGATCTCAATCGAATGCCACCGTTCACAGAACATAAAAACAGGCTGACGGTGCTGCATGTCACTCTGACATATCACATTATTTCATATTACTCTGTCTCTTATTCAGAAACAAAAGTTTCCACTATGGCATGATTAAGAGAAAAAACAATTCATTATATATAAATGATGGCTAAGAACAACATACTGTGAACAGTTTCCAGAGTTTGAACATTCAGCAGAATCAATTCTTACTTGTTGGAAAAAAATCTCTTACCTATCTTTTCCATCACAGTATGCCTCCTTAGAGACAATACTTTAGTGGTAACATCATTTTCGGGAACATTTGGTTAATTTTGAAAGATGATTATGCCACATGAACCAAAAAAAGAAACTTACAGGAGGAGGAGGGTCCTAGACCATTTTGGAAGCAAGCTGGGTCTTGTATTATTCAGAGTCAACAATTAAGCAGACTTATGTCAGGGTGGTGACAGGTAAGAGGCAATGAGTGACACCAGGACGTGCACACCACACAGAGAGCATGGTCTATAGAATAAACATAAGAGGCTTGGTAGAGAGACATGGGGGAAAGGTTCCATGGGGCCAGCATTTGGAAAGCATATATCCCAGTAAAGACTCAAGTATCCCCCGTTCAACCTTCTGGAAAAGAAACTTAGAAATGGCAAACTTCTGCCCACCGTTGTGGACAGCAGCCATCACCTCTCTGAAGGTTTCATTCAGTGTGAAGCTGCAGCGTGAACACAAGTTTTTTAATCTCACTGATCCCATCTCTCCAGCTGCTCTGACCAGAGGGACAGAGTGGGGGAAGTCATGCTACAGACTATCAACAGTGGCCATTCTCAGGTACCTTTTCAGTATCTTATCCTCTTTTGAGCTCTCCTCTCAATTTTTTTTTTCATTGTACCATTAATCCCCTCCTCGATTTTTAATGGAATTATAAAAGCAAAGTCAAAAGGTCCTTCGGGATGAATGGGACGCTTCCTAGGCTAACTTTTGCACTGAAAATGGAAAAAAATAAATTACATGATATTTGTGATAAGACTATGATTTCTTTAAAAGTCTGCACATCAATATATTACCTGGCTTAGAAGGGTGAGGGTACAGCTATCCATCTGCACCCTCTCCGCATATTTTTTAAAAACAAGCAAAATATGTAAAAGGCCAGTGTGCGTTGGAAGACAGAGCGTGCCTGTCTATGCCAGTGCTGCTGTGCCCTGCAGGCTGGCAGATGGAGTCGGATGCCAGGGCCTCACGCCTACTCAGGCCAACAACATATCCAAGACTCTGCAGCCTGTTCGCCAGCAGTGGCTGCCCCAAGGGGCACTAATGACTATGGAAGTAAAGACACACAAAGCAGGGACTAAAGGCTAATGGGGCTTCATGATGCAACAACATGAAGATAGAACTGCTGTGGGCACCAAAGGTAACCTACGGTGCTCAGATATAGGAAAATAGGACAGGAAGCCATGAGTTCCATGGGCAGAATTGTTCCTGGTCTTAGATCTGAGGGCATTTGCAGAGAAAAGTCCAAGGCAACTTCCCCTGGCTCTGAGAGAAAATCCTCCACAGGAGAGGACAGACAATGTGGTGCTCGTCTTGAGGGGGCCTGACCCCTACGGACTGGATATGAGAGGGGCTTAGTATGGCTGTATCCAGTAAGGAAATTGATAACAGACTTTTTTAGAAAGTTGAAAGAAAAAGCAAAGACATTCACAAATACAAAAATTGTTTACAAAACAATTACCTAGAAAGTTCACTGCAGTTGGTTGGGGAATAAGAGTAACGCTTTCATTTCAAATGAGCCATGATGCTACTAATAATTTATAAAAGGGAATGGCCAGCTCTTGGTCTTCCTTCCCTTCCCATCACCCCAGAACCTTCCTACTCCTGGGATTTTCCCTACCCTCACTGCAACCTACCCCCATCACGGCCCCAAATTAATCTGCCCAGCCACTGCACCGAACCAGCCTTGACACACCATGTTGGTTGTATTTCACTTAATGCACCTAACGCTTGGGAAGAGAAGGTGGGGAGGGCACAAGTAGCATGTTGGCATAAACCTGGAGGCGTGTGGGCCTTGAACAGAGCTTCTCCCGGCCAAACCCAGGGCAGGGTGGGCACCTGCAGTACAGTGCAGGCTGCAGGTAAACTGAGGTAAGGAAGAACATGGAGGCTCCAGCTGGCCTGCTTTCTGACACAGTGCAGCATGTGTGTACTCTTGGGTGTAGGCACCAAAAGACTCATTTTCTTCCAGTTGCTGCTGCCATTCCACCCTCTGGCTAGAAGAATGCTCCTTACAGAGTCCAAAAGAACAGCCACTTGGTCTTCCTCTGAGGGTACAAATCCAACAGAGCCTTAATCCCAAAGATTCAACGCCCACTGGAGTGCAGAAGTCAGAATCAAATGCTCAGAATCAAAAGGTATGGCACTCCTGCCCAGCCAGTTTATCAGCAGTTGTATAGACAGGTCAGAAAAAAACTAGCATTTAGTATAAAAACTGTTTTTCAAATGGGGTAATTTCCTATCCTTTTCCAGAGATCATAATTCTTCACGTTTCTGAGGACCTAAGGGAAAAAAGAACCACAGAAAAGAAAACAGATGATCTTCAAATTATAACCACCACCAAGTGGGCATTTTTCATCACTGTAACCTATTTTTTGTGCCTCCACCTCCATCTTATCTCACTTATTAAATCTTTGGGAGCTTGGTTGGGTGTTTTTGTACTCTATTTTAAAAGCAAAAACGAAATTAAGGATTTTTAAAAAACAGAAACTATCCATAAATCCCACTCCAAAGGAACTGTTTTCACAAATACAATATTTACTTTCAGTAAATTTACTTTCAGTAAATATGCATGTATTTTTTAGTCACAGGATTTTTATTTTATCATTTAATAGCATATGGACATTTTCTATGTATCATTATAGCTCATTCTTGGATGTTTAAACTGTTTTTAATGCTTTTGGCTTGTAAGTAATAGTAAAATAAATTTCTTCATGTATATAACTTTTTTTTTCTGTTGAATTATTTCTTGAGCATATTTTCAAGAGAGGAATTACTGAGGGTATAAACGCCTTAAAGGCTCCTACTGGCAGATACCCTGCTTTTTAACAAGGGCTATTCTAACACACAAAGCTTCATCAAGGTTCACAACAGTTTCATCACCATCTCCCAAACAAATGGCATTATCACTATGTCTGGTTTTTTCCACGTAGCAGATATTAGTAACAGATTGCTTTAATTTGATTACTGTTTCCTCAAATTCATTTATTATTTGTGTTTCCTCTTACTTGAACGTGTGCCCACATTCTTTGCCCATTTATCTATGGAAATCCTCAAGGTTTAACTGATGAATCTGAATTAATTACTTTTATGGTTACTATATAACCTTCCAGATGTGATATTTAATATCATGGTATAGTCTGAGGGATGTATAGGCAAATCACTCAAGATCCATGTTCTGCAACTGCTTTTTTTGATTGATCTTGAGACAGGGTCTTGCTCTGTCACAGAGTCTCTCCCTGTTACCTATGCTGGAGTGCAGGGGCTCACTGCAACCTTGACCTCCCAGGTTCAAGCAGTCCTCCCACCTCAGCTTCCTGAGAGGCTAGGATTACAGGTAGGAGCCACTATACCCAGCCACTTTTTTAGAATTAGTCTAAAGCAGAATAAATCTTAAAATACCAGAGCCCATGTATATACCAAAACATCACTATGTACTCCATAAATATGTACAATTATTATGTGACAATTTAAAAGTAAATAAATTTAAATTTTTTCTTAAATCTAGAGCCCAGCTTATTCAAGACACACACAATAGGGAAAACATTAAAGACTAAATTCCTATTCTTACACTAAACTAAATACAAGCATTCCATTTCCTTCCCAACATGTTTGTTTTAAAGAATACACTTTCAGCCAGGTGCAGTGGCTCACGTTTGTAATCCCAGCACTTTGGGAAGCTGAGGCGGGTGGATCACTTGAGGTCAGGAGTTCAAGACAAGCCTGGGCAACATGGTGAAATCCCATCTCTACTAAAATTACAAAAAATTAAAAATAAGTAAATAAATAAATAAATTAGCTGGGTGTGGTGGTACATGCCTGTAATTCCAGCTACTTGGGAGGTTGAGGTATGAGAATCATGTGAACCTGGGAGGCAGAGGTTGCAGTAAGCCAAGATCATGCCACTGCACTCCAGCCTGGGTGACAAAGTTAGAATCTGTCTTTAAAAAAAAAAAAAAAAAAGAGGCCAGGCACGGTGGCTCACAATGTCAGGCAGTGGCTCACAAGGTCAGAAGTTCAAGACCAGCCTGGCGAAAATGGTGAAACCCCGTCTCTACTAAAAATACAAAAATTATCTGGGCGCAGTGGCAGGTACCTGTAATCCCAGTTACTCAGGAGGCTAAGAAGGGAAAATTGCTTGAACCTGGCGTAGGTTGCAGTGAGCCTAGATCGTACCACTGCACTCTAGCCTGGGTTACAGAGGGAGACTCCATCTCAAAAAAAAAAAAAAAGAATTTCAAATACATACTTGTCTTGATCTAAATTTATTCATT